TTTTAAAAAATTGCATTAAATGTTGCATTAAAACAACCTCAATTCTTTAACCATTTGATATATTAAATTTGTGGCTGTCAAAAACAGTAAATTCATGTTCAAATTTTTTTTTGTTATATGACCAAAAGCAGGCGTTTTTATTAAGCAGGCTTGAAATTATACTTCTGAAGACTTTAAAGAAATTCCATTAAATGTTGAAAAACTAAATATCTATCTTTTTTGGATTCAGATTTTTTTTTCAAATTTTTTTTTTGGCACTATATATACATACATATACATTGTTTATAAAAACAAAAACAATTAAATGATTAGTACCAACAACAAGCTAGGTAAAATACAAACATAAAACATAAGTATAATATAAAAAAAAATATTTCTAATTTTTTTATAATGTAATGACGCCATCGGCACTCCTTTTAAAGGAACAAAACTTGATAATATCAATTTTAACCATGGGTGTAACTGAAACCAAGGTTCTCATTAACAAACAAAATAAGTCATGCACAATTTTAATACAATATCAAAAACCACTTTAACAGCCCACTACAATATTGTATAAAACTTCATTGCAAGTGCATCACAAACATAACATAAAGAAGGAAAGCACTTAGTGGTGTTCAACCTTTACCAAAAATGAAATACAAAATATAAAACAAAAATATGTCATAATCCTACTTCAAAGGTCCACAAAGAAATTACATGCATGTAATTACGTAATTATAAATATGTATTATTCAACTAAGTTTTAAAATATACATGTCCATGTGATAGAGAACAATTATTTCAACACTTGCGATTAAATTTTTACTGAAATCTTGAAATTTTCGACAAGCATTAGAGAAAGCTTTATAACATGCAAAAGGTTTTGAATAAATAGTTAAATTGTAACTACAAGCAATAACTGTTAAGTTCTGTATGCATTTAATTACTTATACAGTTTTATAATTTATTATAGCTACATACATGTATTACCACCTTAGCGCAGTAACAGGTTAACTACTTAAATAATCTTATTGGAGTTAACCCATTACTGCACTAAGGTTATAATAGGTGCTTAATGGTGTTTTCGTTTTGTAAAAATTGTTTTCAAAACAATTTTGAAAATTCAATTTTCTCTTTCATCATTTCAATGAATTATTAAAATAACACTCAGAGAACAACTGGTTATAGTGCAACTGGATTGTGAACAAAACTCAAACCAACACATGTTTTTAAAAAACCCAAAATATAAGAGATAAATTTAAATAGAATCTACCCAAATACTTTGAGTGAAACCTCTTACGATGCTTGTTAAATTATAGAAATATATTTATTTGTAAATCAATACAAATACAAGAGTAAAATAAAAATTTAATTAATCTATAAATCAACAAGCCATTATAACTATCGCTTATAGAAATAGAAACTAAATTTGCAAGGTGAATGTCAAAACGCTCGATTTTGCAATGCAGATACCAAAAATGCAACACTTTAGCCACCAGTGTTATAAGAGCCAGGCTATCTTGTACATTCATGCAGTCTGACCAGGCTTTATAACACTGCTCCAAAATTTTCATCCTGATACCCCTATAATTTATAATAGACTGTTTCAAAATGGAAGTTGGACAAGTTCATTAATATAATTGAGCAATTTCAGGGTCGAAAAAATTTAGTTTCCCCTCAAAATACAATTAAAAGGTTTTACATAATATAATTACAAAAATAAAAAAAGAAATTAAATTTTATTTTGGGATAGGGCAAAAAAATGCCCTTGCAACAAAACCAAAAAACAGAAAAGGACCAAAATTTGAAAATTGTTTCCTTTGAAAAGGCATTTGGGGGGAAGTTCTTAGAAAATTTTGGGGGAGCTTTTAAAAAACCAAATAATTATATATAACATAAACCCTTTTCCTTTGTTAAAAAAATCTTTTCAAAGAAAATAGGCCCCGGGGGGAACCAACCCGCATAATTGAACAAAAGGTTAAAAAGTTACTTTTATTTATTGAAATGGTAGAAAATTTTTTTGTCTAAACATTATAAAATACCATGGCAATGGTGAAAAAGCAAATTTAAAATTTTAAATTTAATTATAATTTTTTTAAAAATATTAAATAATTTACAGATAATAACATTATTTTTTATTAATAATTTTAAAAAATTTCCACCTGGAATTTGACCCAAAAATTGAACAACCTTTTAAATACAAAACGATCATGCAATAATAACCCTTAGTGCCATGCTTTTTTTAAACCGGATCCTGACCCGGGGCGATTTTTACCCGAACATAAAATAATACGGTAAGTCTACAAAAATCTTGCAATCTGTCCGGCCTTTGGGTTTTAAAGAATTTTTGTTTTAAATAAATTCATTATAAAAATCCCATTTTTCCCCCAAATTTCAATCGTAGTTAAAGGGTTTAAAAAAACAAAAGGCCGTTTCAGCAAAACTATAAAACAATTGCTTATTTAAATCAAGACGGGCGGGATGTTTGACAGGGGGAAAATTTAAATTTGTAATACCGCAATGCTGCAAAAAACCAAGCAACTATGCGTAAAAATTTAAAGCTAAGCTTAATGAAAAATAAAGAAGATTTTTTAAACAAATTTTAAAATTTGTTCCCAAGATTGAAAATACAAAGCTTACCTTTTTTTTAAGATAATTTTTTCATTGGGAAAAGGTGAAAATCAATTCCCTGCGGGCGGGCCCAATTTTGGACCCGGTTTAATTTTTACATGGAGGAAGACTGCCTTTTTTTGGCTACCTGGGACAAGGATTGTTAAACCCTAAATTTTTTGGTTTATTTTGGGTTTTCGAAACACCCTTGGCAAATACCGTTTGGTGCTGGACGGGTTTTTCGGATTTTTAATTTCCCCTTTTAAAATAAAACAGAAACAAAACCAAAAAACAAACAAAAACTATTACGTGGGTTTTTTTAATTTTCTAAAAAATTTTGTTACCGTTTAAAATGAAAAACTTTTTGATGTGTTTGTGAAAATTACCAAATGTTTCTTTAATATGTATCTCAAAATGTTACAAACAATAAATTGTTAATACTGAAATCTACAAAATTAAAATATTCGTAGTGGCATCTGCCATAATAAAAAGAGATATTTTTCTGCGAAAACTTGTGTGTTTGCTTTATTTATTTTATTTTTTTTGCTCGGGAATTATTCATAAAAATGGTAGGCCTATTTAATCATTTTCTTAAAAAAGAAATAATTGTTTTAGTTCGACCTTCTCGTCCGGTCATCAACGGTCACCAGTTTCCAAAGACCTTCTTCTATATTGATCGATTTTTATCAACTATATTCCTTGATACAAAACGTTTATTTATCCCCTTCCCCCCCCCTAAAACAATGTTGAAAATAGTTAAATGAAATACCATTATATCATTAAAAATGTTCCCCGCAGGAAACCATTTTACTTGTTATATTCTGACAAGAACACAGATTCCATTTATTGGTGCACATATTATGACTGCAAAAATTCCCCAAAACTGTAGTAACTTCTATAAAATAAGGAAAGACTTACAACAGTTTTGCAGCCAACCCTCAATATGAGATATTTGGACATTTACAACAGATAACATGTTACATGGTGACCTTGACATTTAAATACATTTATATACAACATTTATTGACACATCTTATATTCGTACTTGCTTTTTAGTGATTTCTTCCTCATGTTTTGATTCAGCTTCCTGCAAATGTTTCGAATTTCAATATATATGTACCATGTCTTTTGGAATATATCATTTGTGCTTTTATTGCTATATAAACTAATACCTAGTTTTAAATCAGTTACTTGAAATTCTGATTTTTTTTGGATTTTTTTTTCAAGTGTGGTTTATGGACATGTTAAAAATTCCTTTGTCGTAAAATGGCAACAGAATTTAATCATAATTCACACCTTGGCTTTTAAAGAGACTCATTTTACTCTAATTTACCTAATTTTATATTCAATTATTATTTTTTTTTTTTTTGCATGTGTGAGTACCTAATCACATTTTCAACTTACAGGTAGGGAAAGTGGCTCTACCCTTAAAATTGTGGAAATATTACATGGTATTTTTGCAAATGGGGAAGTAAAACTTGATTTCAATTGTACTTTAGGGGAAAATTGCATTATTGTAAAGCCCCTGTTATAGATAGGGAAAAAATAAAACCTGAAATGGCGTAAAAAAGGACATTATCATTTTAATTGAAACTTTTTGGATAATGTGGTCATAGCAAAAAAAGATTAATTGCGGGTTATTATGACACTTGAAATTAAAAAAACATTTTGTCTACACAATTTTCTTACTACTCTAATCTTCAAGGTAATATAATGTAAGTTTATTAACCAGATTTAAGTGAAATTAATAAGAGTGGACAAATCAATTAATATCCGATTCAATGTGTAACTTTCAAGTTTTTTTTTTGTTTTTTTTTTTTCAAAATATAAACTTTTAAAAGAAAACTTTCAAAACCCTTTGCTTTCGATCTGTCACAAAAACGGCCTTTGTTCTTATGTACTTTAACGGTTAAGATTGAATATGATATAGCCTACGTCAGAGCATGTTCTGTAATTAGAACTTCAGCAATAACACAATAGAATAATCTAAGATTATATACAAAAGGGTTAATCCAACTTTAAAGCAACTTGACAAACTGTATGCTTTTTTATACTTTAAGCTTTAAATTCAAGTTAATCTTCAACGTTGTACTTAAAAATATCTTAAATTCACTGGCTCTTGTCTCTTACGCAAGATAGCGTGAAGATAATATGTTGAAAATGTTATATAATTGTAAGGTATCCGAAGCATTTAAAAAAAAAAAAGCTTTTCAAAAAGGAAAGTGGGCAATAAGAAATACAAATAAGTTATAATTAGAATAAATCTATGCTTACATTTAACAAACCAATGTCAAGCATTGCACTGTTGTTTAAATAAATAAAATTTCTAAATCTAGCAGCAACAAGAACAAGCCATCTTTTCAGGAAAATGGATAAATGAATGATAAATTGTAAATATATAAAGTTACCTTTCTCCCGTTGGCAGCCGCGCCCTGTCTCGGTGTGTTCTGTGGTTTAGATCTGTCAGTTGTGCTTCCAGATGCTCCAGGATCCGTTCCTCTGGGAGTCTTAGATGTCGATGATGACTGATGGGGATTTGGACTCGCACCTGTCGAGCGAGCTGGTGCTCGTGGCCGGCTGCCGCCTTGGCCGGCGATTTGAACTTCTTCAAACTGACGATTTCTCTTGGGTTGTTTTGGGGTTGCACGTGCAGTGGCTGGAGCTGATTGGGTTTCTTTTGGTGCTTCACTTGAACTACCGCTTCCCATTGTTAATATCTACATTTCTGAAGGGGAAAATTGCTGAAGAATAAAAATTGAACCTACAGGGATTTTTTCCAGGATTTTGTGAACATGACCCATACCCATGGAATTGGGAGATGTTCAGCAGATGTTTTGTTAAAAATTAATGCAAAAATGCATGACTTTAAATTTTGCAATGATTAAATGAATGCAAAGAATCACTGTCTAGGATACATGTAGCATCTTCAAACATTTAAGCACCATCATAACAGTGAAGAAGCCCTTATTTTCAAAGATTTTAGAATTTGATATTCAGTATATTTATTTTGTAACTTTCAATTTGGAATATTTTCCCTGTGGTTTGGGAAAATAATATACTATATTCCATGTAGAGCATGACCAGATATCAGCTTTAAAATAAGCCAAAAAAATCCCTGATTTTCAAATAACAAATTTAAAAAGTCCATCTCTGAGATAAAAAAAGAAACAACAAAAAAAAATCTTAATTTAAAAATGACTTTATTATCGTAAAATAAAGATAACTGAAAAAGTATGACCATATATATACATGTATATATATATATTCTTTTACTCATAGAAATATTACCAATTTTGTATTTTCCTGTAGTACTATGTAATAGTCATTAATTCACATTACAATTTACACCAGTCCACATTTTAATTATCAGTAAATATCTAAGTATTATTAATAAAATTTTGATATCATAAAGAAGTAAAATTATTATATAATACTGCTTTATTAAAAAGGAAGAAATTGACTGAAAATTGTTAAAATCTGATATCATATACATGTAGCTTGAACATGTAGGCCTAATTAAAAATAAAATCTGTCAAAGACAAAAAAAGACATGATAAGGGGTAATAACCATAGAAGTTATTACTATTCTGACATATTTCTTTTCAAAACAAAAAATTTCAAAATATGTCATTCAGAAGTAGTGTATGATATTGTAATAAAATGCACGTATCTACCTTGAAATTAACAATCCAACACTATATAAAATTCAAAAGTGGAGTCACTTAAGTTTACTTCCTATATAAATAAATAAATCCAGTTTTTTTTTTGTAATGGTATTGAACAAGTTTAATATTAATAAATCCAACACAACTGATAAAATCCACCAAAAAATCACTTGATGTATTAACAGAAAAATAACAATTAGATTTTTTTATACACTTTTCTAAATAGTCAAGCGATATCTATTTTTAATCAGCTTCAATTCTGAAATGATCAATACTTCAGAATAATTGGCATTACTTTATAACAAAAGATATAATCAGTTTATCTTTAACACATTCGCGTGTTTCAATAATGAATATAGAATAGCAATATTAGCCAGTATAAGCACTATTGTACTCCAAATCCTTTAATATGCCCACAATGTACATGTCTATACGATATGGCACTGTCTAATAGACCACATATATATTTCTATACCAAATTAATGAACTGTAAAGAGGTAGCTCACTTATTTAACTGTGGAATCTATAAATTATTTAACCGTGTTTCATTTTACTTTGTAAGTGTACATTTCACTTTTGCCAAGTTTTAGCTGAATTTTACCGTAGATTGCCAAAAACTGGGCCAAAATATGACAGAAGATTATGGATCAATGAAATGTCAGAGTTATTTCAGGTGCAGATAAAACGGATATTTTTCAATACACCTATTTAGGGCTGTGTAAACATAATAGGCTCAACGGAGCACGACCATTGATCGTCGTACTGGCTGCCTAGCAAATATGTAAACAATGATCAAAACTGTCCTTCACCTTCGATCAGTGTAATCAGCAGCTTGATCATACTATTCTGGTGATTGATTAAATTTTCAAAAAGCTGTCAAGTGATACTGATTAAATTATCTATTTAACTTAAGTAAATTTATTAGTGTGAAATAATTAATGAGATAAGAAATTGTACCTAGATCTATGCAGATATATATTTATCTATTTAAAGAAAGATTTACACAGCTTCAGGCGGTTGTAATATATTACATTTCAAGACAGTAAGACGAAACATTTTCCCGCCAAATTTCTTAGCCAACTTTCCCGAATACGAAGCGGGAAAATTTGAAATCAATTTCTGGTCATGATTTTCATTGGTCATCATGACCATAACGATTGTTTTTTTTAATTTCTGCGATACCGGTAGATCTAACAGTCTAATTGACTAGGTAACAGATGTTTTGATGTCCTTCATGTAGATCTAGATCTCACGAGTTTTAAATAGATCTAGTAAGAAACTCATTTTATAAATCTAGCTCTAGATAGTATAGCCCTCTATACTGTAAATGTGTGTTTATTTATAGTATAGAGGGGAAGATCTATATCTGCCGTTATCTTTTAATTATTTGCTTACATTTTTCAATTAGAATCTAATTATAGATCTAGAATGCACAGATTTCCTAAGCATGCGTCAGTTGCTTCCCTTTTCACCAATATTTTTTGCACCTGACTGTAGACTCTATATGTGTAATTGTTGCAAAGGATTCCCTATAAACAGTCTTACAGATATAGGCTACATCTAGATCGAGAAAAAGTGTTTGGTTAGTTAAATTATGCACTTCTTCAAACTATTATTTCAGATCTAAAGGATACACGTTGATAGAAAATAAACACAAGGGAGGTAACCAATAAAATATGTTGAGTCGTAAGTTACTCATTATAACCAGGTTTGCTTCCCTTTAATTTCGTACGGTAGTGAAATCAGAAACTTGAAAATGTTAGTTATCCAACTTATCGTGGAATATAATGCACATGTACTAGATTAATAATATCTGTCATATTTTGCGGTTCGGATCGGAATATCCGTCCCGAGGTGACCCGCCCATTGGGCGGTAACGAGGCTTGCCAAGTTACCGCCCATGGGCGGGTGACCGAGGGACGGATATTCCGATCCGAACCGCAAACATATGTCAGATATTTTTTCTTGCATATTCTACCATATTCCATTATATTTTAAATTCTTTATCTTTATTTTCAATGAAAATTTATATCATTACAACCGTAACTACTTTCTTACAACTGCGTATGAATTACAACTTCATTCATAACGGTAAAATGACGTCATCCTAACCGTGCCATTGTACAGCACGCGACTCATCTGGAACCCCCCATGCCAGATGAAATTTCCGGTATGGGTAAAACTCACGGAAACGCCAGTCTGACATGCAAGAAATGATGTTAAACTGAGAATTTACAATTCAGAATGGAATGATAAAATGATAAAATCATTGCTCATGAGGACATCACATGTAGCACCAACTTCTGCAAGGTCTATATGTCTATTATCCCTTTGAGATAGAAAGTGAAATAATATTTCATATTACATAGCTGAAATTTTAAATTTGGAGAAAATTGGAACGAAAGAAAAACTTACAAAACGCTATTAGCACAGTAACATTTACGTGTGCATGTAATGACAATAAAGTGCACGTGATTACTGTTTATATAACACGTTAATTCGATAAATTGAGAAGAAGAAGTCATACCTGTTCATTTCCCCCTTTTACATTGCCACAATGCGTCTACATGTGATGTTCATGAAGCGGTCAACATGCTTCAATTTCACTAAGCAGTGTGAAGCAAGCGTGTTTTAGCACGAAATATTCGTGCTATTTTGGTTCCCGCGTCTTTACTTTCAATTTGTACTGTGCTCACAATGGTCATATATCACATCAGTCTGTATGTGTATGATTTTGCCGCCTCTTTTGCTGTCATCTTGGGGTTTTAATCCCACGGAAAGTTCATGTTCAATTGAAAAACACACCCACATGCCTTGCACGGCGACTTGTATTGTATTGTTTCGCAATATTGAACAAAAACTGATTAATTTTCGGGAGTTTTTTTGTTATTTTCGCTAGGTATAACGATTTACGTGTTCTCGATTCTTCAATCTATACTGTAATTACGACCAGATCGCCTAAATATAAGCATACGTCCGTAAGTAAGTTGCAAGTTCAAGTCCACGGGAATTTTTTTCCCAGATAGAATGTTATGCAGTGGATAAATCAGTTGTTTCATTTCGATGTCTTCTTTTTAATTTTCATAACTTTTTTCTCAAAATATTGATTCCCCGGCCATAATGGTATAACCTTCCCTCACATGATGAGAGAAAATTAAATGTACTAAATAACCAGCTCACTCAGATTATGTTTTAATTAGATCTATTATCAGTTTCAAAGATTGTATTTTTTACACGTAGGTGTGTCAGAAATTGATGGAAAGGGTCAATTTCTAACTCTAAACTTTGATCCGTCGAAAAATAACCTATGAGGTCAATATTTCAACTTGGTCAAACTCTAGTGTTTTAGTTAGTACAGTGGCGACTAAGAACAAAAACATTAATCAAATTATGTTTCTTTTTTTTGTTAGGTTTTACGTCGCACCAACACAGTATAAAACATTTGGAAATTTTCCAGCATCACTGTTGAAGAAAGACCATTCGGAACTTCCTCGGCTATTATATATAATATTATCTATTATCCTTATCCGAAGACTGGTAGAAAGGGCCGAGTAGTTGCGATTGGAAGACCTCAAGACCTCCATGCATTATTTCAGCCATGAACAGGAAACATGAGTAGAACCACCGACTTTCCTTAACCTAGCTTGATAGCTTTCTCACATGAAAAAAATCCCAAATACCTGGCAGGACCTTATTCCACAGTGGTGAGGGGGCAAGGAGTGTGATGTCAACGGTTCCGAGTTAACATGAGTAAAATCTGTCTGAATATGTTTTGGGTAAATAACAGTCGTATTTAAATTATAACTGACTTAAGCATAATCTCTTAACATACATGTTAAGGGGAGTGGTGGTTGCCTAGTGGTTAAGGTGATTAAGGTGTCTCCCTTTCAACCCAGGGATAACGTGTTCGAGCCCTACTCGGGTCACGACCATGTTTCAGTACTGGTTGGTTCCAGGAAACGGACTCGAAAGCGATTAATATAAGTTCGCAATCGAGCAAAAATAGATACGTTTAAACTAACATACATGTTGTAATTCGTTATAACGTTAGTTTGTTCCTCGATTTTATTTTATTGCCGAATAACGAACATATTGTTTTTAGAAGGAAAAACTATACGTTTGGAATTACACCATTTTCATTATAACACACAATGAATTAATAAGGGGATACGTTTTCGCATGACCAGCAGTAAATAACATTTTGTTCTGAATGAATGTTTTATACTAAAGTTGATACTCTGAATGAAACACAATACTTGAATCAAACAAATGCTTACTGTTTATATAATATAAATAATTTATTAATTACTTTGTATACTATCCATTTCATTTACAGTAAACGGTGGCATATATTTATTGCAACTGGCTGTCAAACGCACGACCGTGACACTATACGATAACTTAATATAAATGTACGTTTATAAATATATTCATTACCTACATAGTACATTTTAGTTATATTAGGCCTAAAAATGTGCTGTTAGCGTAATACATATACTAGATTTATTCTATACGGACCACGAAAAAACTTCGACACATCGAAAAACTCGACACATAAAATCTCGACTCATCAATAGGTTTTTATAAGGAATATATGAGGGAAAAAATCGGGACTTTCATTTTACTTCGACACATCGAGAAAATCGACTAATCGAAGTTCGACTCATAGAAGTTCTTCTGTATATATACACAATTCATTGGTGAAGGTTCGGTTCCAATTTAGTTAAAGTTTAAAAAATAATGATGTAACAATTGAACAATATTATGTCAAGTTCAAAGATGAAATAAGTCTTGAAATAAAGATGCTAGATTTATGAACCTTGTCATTCATGATGTGAGTAAGTCCAAAGTATAAACCAGGTATAATTACGAAGATAATACTTTAAAAAATATATTAATTTTTCATTCAAAAAAATAAATGAAGATAATCCTGGAAATACAATCTGTATTAGTATGGAAGAACATGGACAGACTGAGATCCCTGACCACTAGTGGCTGCAGCATCATTTTCAAACACCAATGTAGAATAATAAACACCCAATAGTTGCTCCGTCCTTTTTATATTTTTCTGGTCCTTCGGGATCATTTATGCCAGCACTATTAGGTGTTGAGAATTAAGTACCGCTCAAGCCGGTGCTAGGGGGCGTGAGGGATGTTGCACTTCTTCATTATCCCTCATGTACAGACACAATCAAACCGAGTCTGCAATTTTCATGTAACTTTGTTGTGATTAAATCTTCCAACGTATCACTTTGTTTCCAGATTTCTATACTGGTGGCAAAAGGTTTTAATATCACATTCAAAAGACTAGTTTATACATATACTTGTATTACCACAAGATGGCAAATTTGATAGTAGAATGCTGATCTTTGGAGCACCCCCAAATCTACGAGATATATTTCTTGTCCCACCACATGCCATAATTTGTATTCATGTGTTTAAAACTTAGACTTTCCAGCTTTACTCACGGAAGAACAAGAACATGCTTTGGTGCACTGTTGCATTAATTTGTGGGTACACGAGTAGACCCACCAACCTTCCATAAACTAGCTTGATAACTTCCTCACTTGAAAGGACTCAACATTCCTCTAGTAAGATTTGAACCAACAGTGTTGAGGATCAAATAATTTTAAGACTGACATTAACTACTCAGCTATAGAAACACCTATTACGGCCCGCACTCTCAGAAACACTGAAATAAATATAAACAAGAGCCCGGTTTGAGCCGGTTGATGCTCCCCGAATTGGTTTTGGACACAGGAAAGTACACCTCTTGTAGTTTCAGAGTAATGTCTCTTGAAAAAGTTCAATGTGCTATAATTCCAAGATTAGGCAAGGCAGAGTAACCATTCTTTGAACTGCACTTCTAATCAATGAGATCTGTCAACCAACAAAGTTTCTTGTTAAAACCTCTTATGGTTTCCATGTCAAATGCCCTGACAAAGTTCAAAATGTAAAAATTTACAAAGGGCAATAACTACAAAATTTGGCATGACAGAGTTCAAGTTCTTGTGCTCTGCACATCTACTCATTGAGATCCATCAACCTACAATGTTTCATGTTGATATCTCTTGTAGTTATAGAGTTATTTCCCAGACAAGACTTTTTTTAAAAGGGGAGATAATTCAAAAATTGGGCAAAACAGAGTTATGGTTTTTGTACTGCATTTTTACTCAATGAGATCTATCTACCAACTAAGTTTCATGTTGATATCTCTTAAAATTTTAGAGTAATGTCCCAGACAAAGTTCAAAAAGTAAAAATAAAACGCAATAACTCCAAAATTAAGCAAGGCAGAGTTATGATTCTTGTGCACTGCACATCTACCCATTGAGATATATCTACCTACAAAGTTTCATGTTGATATCCCTTATAGTTTTACAGCTATGTCCTGGATAAGATTTTTCTAAAAGGGAAGATAATTCAAAAATGAGGCTTAGTAGAGTTATGGTTCTTTTGCACTGCACTTCTACTCAATGAGATCTATCTTCCTATAACGTTTCATCTTGGTATCTCTTATAAATTTAGAGTTATGTTCCAGACAAAGTTCAAAGTGTTAAAATTAACAAAGGGCAATAACTCCAAAATTAGGCAAAAAAGAGTTATGGTTCTTGTGCATAGCACATCTACCCATTGAGATCTATTTACCTACAAAGTTTCATGTTGATATCTCTTATAGTTTTAGAGTTATGTCCCGGACAATATTTTTCTAAAAGGGGAGATTATTCAAAAACCGGGCAAAATAGAGTTATGGATCTTTTGCACTGCACATCTACCAATTGAGATCTATTCACCTACGAAGTTTCATGTTGATATCTTTTATAGTTTTAGAGTTATGTCCCGGACAAGATTTTTCTATAAGGGGAGATAATTCAAAAACCGGAAAATAGAGTTATGGTTCTTTGACACTGCACTCCCCTCAATGCCCCTACCACTGTATGAAGTTTAAACAAATTATCTCCAAGGGTTTTCAAGTTATGCTCCGGACAAGACAATGGACGGACGGACGGACAAGTTGGTGACTATATTCGGGGAGCATAAAAATAATGAGCAATTATCATATTATTGCAAGCAATACAAAAGTCCTCTACTGGTTAGCACCCCAGCAACATTTGAAGGGTCAAGGCCTATGTGCTAACGTGTCAACATTTCTCTATTTTAATTAAATTTGTTTGAAAAGTTACAAGTTCTTTAATTATAATCGAAGATATATAGTTTTTTGGGATGGCCAGACATACAGACAGATAGACTTAAGGCAAATTTTTTAATGTCCCTGGTTGTAACCAGAATATGTGCCGCGTCACGACAAAACCAACATAGTGCGTTTGCGACCAGCATGGATCCAGACCAGCCTGCGCATCCGCGCAGTCTGATCAGGATCCATGCTGTTCGCTTACCAACTCGATTACAAGTAGAGAAACTGATAGCGAACAGCATGGATCCTGATCAGACTGCACGGATGCGCAGGCTGGTCTGGATCCATGCTGGTCGCAAACGCACTATGTTGGTTTTGTCATGGCGCGGCTCATATTACTTTAACACTTAATATAAAAAAGCAAAATTCTTACACCAAAGAGGAGATAACTACTGAAATAAAGATGCTAGACTTATGAACATCGTCATACATGATGCAAGTGGTGACAAACAACAATTATCAAGTAGAAACCATTTATAGAATCAAAGAAGAAAAGTGAAAAATATAACAATTTTCAAATATATAAAAAGTAAAGTTTATTTCTTGTAACATAGTACTACAACATGACATTGCAATGGAAAATACAATATATCATTAATAGTAACAAAGAAGAAAATTTAAACAAGAGGGCCATGATGGCCCTAGATCGCTCACCTGAATTATCAAACTCATCCAAACAATTACCTAGACAAGCATTCTGACCAAGTCTCATGACAGGTGAGTCAAAAATGTGACCACTACAGTGCTAACAAGGATTATCCATATTTGAGCAGTGCGACCTAGTTTTTTACCCAGGTGACACATATTCAAACTTGACCTAGAAATCATCAAAACAAACTTTCAGACCAATTTCCAGGATACTTGGATCAAAAACAGTAGCAACTAGAGTGTTAACAAGATTTTTCTATTTTTAGCTCCGGTGACCTAGTTTCACATGCGATTTCGAACTAATCCAAGCAATTACCTAGACAAGCATTCCTGACCAAGTTTGATGATAATCGAGTCGAAAATGTGACCACTAGAAATGTTAACAAGGTTTTTCCATATTTGGGCGGGTGTGACCTAGTTTTTCATCCAAAATGACCCATGTTTGATCTTGACTTAGAAATCATCAAAAAAAACTTTCAGACCAACTAACAGAAATATTTGGATCACAACAGTAGCACTAGAGTGTTAACAAGATTTTTCTATTTTTAGCTCAATGTGACCTAGTTTTTCATCCGAGATGTCCCATGTTCGATTTATTCCAAGCCCAATGACCTATTCAAGTTTCCTGACCAAGTTTGATGACAATTGAGTCAAAAATTGTGACCACTAGAGTGTTTAACAAGGTTTTTCTATTTTTAGCTCCTGTGACCTAGTTTTTCATCCGAGATGACCCATGTTCGAACTCATCTGAGCTATCACCTAGACAAGCATCTTGATCAAGTTTGATGATGATTGATGCAAAAATGTGACCGCTAAAGTGTTAACAAGGTTTTTCTATTTATAGCTCCGGTGACCTTGTTTTTCATCCGAGATGACCCATATTCGAACTCATTTGAGCTATTATCTAAACAAGCATCCTGACAAAGTTTGATGATGATTGGGTCAAAAATGTGACAACTAGAGTGTTCACAATGTTTTTCTATTTTTAGCTCCTGTGACCTAGTTTTTCATCAGAGATGACCCATTGTTCGAACTCATCCAAGCAATTGACTAGACAAAGCATTCTGACCAAGTTTTTGATGATGATTGGTTCAAAAATGTGACACTAGAGTGTTCACAAGGTTTTTTTCTATTATATAGCTCCTGTGACCTACTTTTTCATCCGAGATGACCCATGTTCGAACTCATCCCCGAGCTATCACCCTAGACCAAACATCCTGACCAAGTTTGATGATGATTGGGTCAAAAATGTGACCTCTAGAGTGTTCACAAGGTTTTTCTATTTTTAGCTCTTGTGACCTAGTTTTTTCATCCGAGATGACCCATGTTCGAACTCATCTGAGCTTTCAACTAGATAAGCATCCTGACCCAAGTTTTGATTGATGATTGAGGCAAAAAATGCGACCCGCTAGAGATGTTCACAAGCAATTGTGGACGGCCGAACGGACGACGGACGACGGACGACGGACATTCACCGATCCTAAAAGCTCACCCTGGAGCACAAGCTCAGGTGAGCTAAAAAAAATCAAACAATTTTTTAAATTGAAAATTTAAGGATTGATAATTCTGACATTATAAAGGTGAGACACAAAAACATATATCTAAAGTTTGAAGCAGATATGCTAAGAAATAAAGAACGTTGATAAAGAACGTTTTTTTTTTTTTTGGGGGGGGGGGGGTTGTGAAAATTGTAAGTTCAAGGGGGATAAATCTAATAAATTTGGTGCTAGAGTTGTGAACCTTGACATGCAAAATGGCCGTAAGGTCATGATGCCATTTATTCATATTTTAAGTTTAATATAAATGTTTTCAGTACTTTTGAGTAATACCAAATTTTGTTATATTTGCCATATTTTAAGTCTATTTGTTGCCATAGCAGCCAAATTTATCAACAAAGTAAGAAAAGAAGATGTTCATAATTTCCATACAGCCATTTACCCATATTTCAAGCTTCATTCATTAGTATTTTCAGTACTTTTTGCATCACCAAGGGATCCAGTTTGGTGGACAGACGGACATACAGAAGGTAACCTAGTCACCTCTGGTTAAACCGATAAGGGACTAACATCAATATTTATGTATCAAATAAACTTAAAATTACAAATACGGAAATTTAGAAATGATAAATTTTAAAAAATTTGTTAAAAACACCTGACATTTCAATTTTTTTACACTCAGCCCATTTTCTCAACCAATCAAAAAGTTTCATTTTTGTATTGGCCCCATTTTCCATATGGTACTGCTGCTCTGTGTTAGAACATAATTTGGCAAAGAGGATGATCTAATATCAAGAACCTAATAAAATAATGAATGTTTTATTAATCTTGCAAAAACTGCCCAAGTTGATGGTCTTTACCAGTCATAAACAATGTCTAAATTGGTTGTATTATATCTTTATTGCAATTTTTGCAACTCATTAAGCAACATGCTCCTCTACCCGTCCCCCACACGGCACTGCCCAGCACACAACTCTGTGTCAATCACTTGCCATAGATATACAATGTTTAATGTCACAGTATCAATTCACATGGAGGTCCTCTATCAAATATTAAACAACTTGTCCAGCAAGCATCAGTCCTGTAAAATAAAATATTTGATTTATAATTCATAATGAAAACTGTCTTTTGGAGAAACAATTTTAACTACTTACATAATTATGTATAGCAGAATTTGAGTCTTTTTTACTAAAGTTATTTTGCTACTCAAAGCATTAAACACCAGTGAATATTCACAGAATAAACCACGGATTAATTCCGGCATCATCCGTAGCTAACGGTACTGGTCAGTAGCTATCCGTAATGTAACCATAATCAATCGTAATAGTTCTTGTATATCCGTAGCGATCCTCGACAATTTTTGAACATGCACAAAAAATTGCTACGGAAAAATCAACTGTAGCGTATCCCTGCTAGTCCGTACTAAACCGTACTGATACGTATTGGTCCGTACCAAAACCATGCTAGTCCGTATCGATTTGTAGTCCACCAACTTGTCAAGGATTTCCACGGTTTGGTACGGAGAACTACTTATTTGTACCGTTACCCTAAGTATAAGCTACGGTTTTGTTTTAATACGGATTAATACGGCATTGTCACGGAAAGCCATGATCGTAATACGTTGTACTACGGAGAGGCAAGGATTAGCACGGTCTTATATGGTTTATTGCGTTGCAACACAAAACGGTACGGAATGGTACGGTCCACCACTGTTTAGTACGAAAAAATTAAGTATCATGTACTTATTCCAGGTAATAAATACTACCTTCTTGTTAAAAACATACATATTTGCGGGAACATTCAATAAATGACAATTACTATTTACTGGCTGCAACTTTATATTGAAATGGCTCAGAATGCGGAGGCAGTGGTCGAGCTGCTTGATGACATGCATAGAGGTAAAAATATATTAATATCGTACTATAATACATCCGCAATAGAATAACATTTAATGTTACATATTTTACAAACATTAGATCGTGAAATTGGAGTAAATATGTACATAAAACAAAGTGTCTCATAAGCCTCGGACCCTGGCCCTTGAGTGATAATAAGATTAATTAACAAGCTTTTAACATATCCTTAAAACATCAACATTCACGATAATTGATGTAATTGTAAAATGAACAGCAAATCTTAAAATTAAAAAAAGAAGCAGTATTGATCAACATTCTTCATTAATGATTACTATAGTCGATACCTAAGACAGACGAGATGGTGGACTAGAGATGGGCTTTTACAAAGACCCCTTCATGTTTAGTATTAGGCTTTAATGGCCGAACTTGTTGAGGATCCGGCGTCCTTAAAGAAATTCACTTTAATCAGACCTGATATGTCTCAGGGGTCGGACGCGATGAGACCGAATCCTCTCCGCCAAAATCATTGAACTCTGCAATTTCTTTTTTTAGGTGTTCTTTTCTTGTGAGGCATTTTGAAAATGAGCATGCAAGAGGTTGTGGACGGATATAATAGGTCCGTATAGATCCGTGGCAATTTGTTCTTCTCCGTATCAATTCCTTCTTCTCTGTATCAGACCATACTTATTCGTAATGACCCGTGCTTATACCGTAACAGACCGTAGTGTATCCGTAGTGCGTCCGTCCGGATTTGTGTCGCTCCGTATCAAACCGTGTCAGTCCGTAACAATTTATGTCTCTCTGGGAGCTTTTGGTGGTAAATCCGTCAGACTCCGTAATATCGGAAAAATGTCGAATTTAGAATCGAGACATCTACGTTAAAAAATCGTTACATTCAATCCAATTTAAGTTATACAAACCCTTCAAAAGGCTTTTTATCCCGAAACCAAGTGCCTATGGTGTTGAGGGGAAAATGTTTTGTTTTTTTTTCACTTGGCCATCAAAAGCCCTTTTCCTTCCATTTAAAGTGATCAACAATTTTCTTGAGTAATTGTCTTAAGAACTTACCATGGTTTGATATTGGCTAATGTATGGGAGGAACTTCTATAGTAAGGCAACAACTGTTCCTTTGTGGCCTAGTAATCAACAAGATACAGATTTTATAATGGTTAATTTTTTAGAATTTCAAAATGCTATAGGAACTCAGGAATAGGACAGCATATTGCGGTGCATAGTTTCGAACTTTTACAGGCTTTACTTTTTTTGTTTGTCCAACATTTGAACAGCTTTTCATATAATCCAATTGAATTGTCTTGAAGTAAGTAATCTCAATATAATATAATCTGCTAGTTTAAAAAATAGGTGAAATCAAGAGCCATATAGAAAAAGAAACCATCAAATTTGGCCACTTTTTTAAGTAGCAAGTCTAAATGTTGAAATGATATTATATCTTAGAGGTCATGCACTTGGATAATATAAATTGATATCAAGATAATTGTGAGAATTGTTTTTAAAAGCCGTTACAGGATAAGAAATATATGCCGCAATTTGCGGTTCCACCTCGGAGTTCCTTTTAATAGAATATACATGAAAAAGAAATAATTATAAATATTTTACTTTTAGGCTCAAAAACAGACCCCTGCTTAATATTTTACTTATATCTTTAAAATTGTTTTCATCAAACCTAAACCCCTGTAAAATACTGAGAATTTCTGCTCTTAAAGGAAGGAATGTCTATCCTTAAAGCAGCTTGCCTCCAGATTTATGCCAATGTCCATGAAAATGTATTTCAAAATAAAACATTATTAAGTGGACAAAGAGTGCAGACACTTACAATTCATATAAATTACTGGTCAAAATATGCAAAAAATAACTCTTAATGCTGCAATGTAAGCAACACAAAGAAATATGGTGATAATTACAATGAAATCAGTCCTTAATTGCACACATGTAAATTATTACTTGAATCTTGATGCTTTTACTTTTCTAAAAAATGTAATGAAAGCTTGATTTTAATGAAAAATATTGACTCATTTGGAAGCAGGTAGCTTTAAATATCAATTCAGAGTAAGGAAAATGCTGATATATATTATTTTTAATATCATTTATAAGAATATCATGTATCATAATTGATTCTGATTCCAAAATGTTCATGAAAATGATTAAATGTACACAAAGATTATTTTACACTACAAATTTTAGCTTTGATATTAAATTCACTTACGGAAAAGATGGTTTAAATATGACTGCAAAATTGACAAAGATAATCTAGCTGTCCTTGAAATGAATCTAGATCCATCTTTACTGGTAACATTTTCATTTGTAATTAAAGGGACTCCACTGAGGTTTTTTGACATGAAGGGGGCCGAAAATATTTTTTCAAGATTTTTGTATATCGTAACTAGATGTGTCACTCCATTTTCCAGAAATAATTTTATTGTGCAAATTGGCCCAAAAAATGAAAACCGTTGCAACGCTTTTCACTCAAATCGGCCAAAAATGGCATAAAAAATTGATTATCAATTTAATACTGTGTGTATTTATATAATTATCATCTTCTGCTTGGTTTTAAATTTAAATGTACCAGTTGATTTAAGAAAGATTTTCATAATTTATCATTTTAGGCTATTGGACCTCAGTGGAGTTCCTTAAGGTTTATCATCATTTATATATGGTTGATAGTTAACAAAGTACATTGTATATTGCTTATTTGAACCATTTAAAGTACAATTCCTGGAAGTCACCAGTACTCAATGGGTGCCAAATTTTTATTATCTTTCTGGATTTAACTTCGGCTTTAATTAAGGTAGTCATACTGTAATGCATACATGTACTTGCCAAAATTCCTTTACATCGGCCATTATATCATAATAAATCAATCATTTCAGGAAAGATATTTTTCACAACCTTCGGTATTCATTATTTTTTAACCATTAATAATCAGAATTTAGTACATAGTGATAAAGGATGAGCGATTGTTGATTATGATAACCTAACCAATTGCCAAAAATAAATTTCTGGAAATAATCAATATGCTAAGATAATGTTAGAATTGTTTTGGCGGCAAAGCATTACCTAAAGACGACCATAACATCTTGGAGGTTGATCACCATTATGGGTTTTCCAGGATAACTAACCAGTTTCTCAACAAGTGACCCGACTACTAATCTCAAATGAGCTGAGTCACGACAAAACCAACAAAGTGCGTTTGCGACCAGCATGGATCCAGACCAGCCTGCGCATCCGCGCAGTCTGATCAAGATCCATGCTGTTCGCCGGCAGTTTCTCCACTTGTAAAAGAGTTGGTAAGCGAGCAGCATGGATCCTGATCAGACTGCGCGGACACGCAGGCTGGTCTGGATCCATGCTGGTCGCAAACCCACTATGTTGGTTTTGTTGTGACACGGCTCAAATGATTTCTGTATCAGACAAATAACCAGTCCGCACAATATCTGAGGTCAAAAGCCACAGTGAAATTATGCCATGTCAAAGGATGGAACCCGCAGCTCCTAATGTCAGAGGGGATTAGGAAAATGATGCTCTCCCTGATGAGCTAAGCAAGCAGACGGACTTGGTGTCAACAGAATAAACATGGTCCTGAACATTTGTGGGTTGAATTTATTTATATGCATTTTCAAATGAAATGATTTTGGTGTGTATGTTGATACACAACAAAATTTGTTATAAAAACATGTTCAATATTGTTGGTATTTTTTTTAAATTTTGCTGACATAAACTTGCCTTTCTTAAGAGAATCAGATAAATTTGTAGCTTATCCTTGCTAACATATTACATCCACTTCAATAACCATGGTCAGATCTACAAATGTAAAAAAGAACATAATTATCACAACTTGGTTGTTAATATTTTTTCTGAGGCATATCTGTGGCTGTTACAAAAGAAACTTTGTACAGAAATTATTTTGCACAACAATATAGTGCTTGACAAGTGTTGTTCTTTGAACTTCATATTATATCAGTTAACATGTATTAAATGGATGCATACACTGAGTGACATGATGTAAATCACTTTAAAGAAAGTTTGAATATTGTTAAATATTCCAGCAGTTTCTGGGTTTTTTTTGTCTGTTTAACTAAAACCAGTTAAAATCTCAATCACTCCACACGTAATGAGCACGATGGGCAAAATGTATAATATTTAATATGAAAAATAACAATTCAAATACTAGATTATTTTCTCCCCCTCTGCTTTTATCATGGCTTGGGACATGCTAGTAGTTAAAACTGCACACATCCGGGTATTTTTGAATTCAGGATTTTTTTTTTAATTATACTTTTTTCAATTTGAGTCAAAATTTGCTTTTTTATGGCAAATAAATAGTATTGATTTACTAATTTTACTCTAATATTAAATAAATATTATACACTGTTGCTAAATAAAAACTAAGACATAAAAGGATACATTGTCTTAATTCTGACTTTGTAAGTTTTCTAAAGAACATTAAATCTAAATATTTTACTAAATCATTAAGACATATAATAAAATATTCCCCATAAAAACAATATGAATCTGGGAGTGTGCTGTTTTAAAACTAGGCAGCATTGGGAGAAGTGTTGAGATTGTCAAAACCTTTGAAGCTCTGAAATGTTGAATGGATTTAAGTCAGTCACTGTACGTTGTAGGATTGGTCACAATAGGTTGTAGGGTTCAATGTCTTTTCTAGAATTTTAAAAGTACGGGTGTATTTTCCCCCTCATTAAAAAATAGGTTTTTCAAAAACAAGGGGTGCCAGTAAAAAGAGTAATTGTGTAAAAAAATTCAATGTTGTTTATATTGAGCCAGAGCTAATATTTTTATTTTCTTTAAAATAAAAAGATAACTAGATTGGGTTTTTATTCATTAAAGAAACAAATCAGGGATGGCTCAACTAGAATATGTCTGCAGCTATTTTTATCATATTACACATTATTATTAATATCGAGTTATGAGTAAGGGTTAGTGTTATGTGTTAGGGTTAGAGTTAGGATTATTGAACATGAATTTTGCTGCAAACAGATTCTAAAAGTGCCGTTACAAACTTTATAGAAAAAGGAGTTGTCAACGAAAAAATATTGATTTTATTTAGCAAACTCCTCACAGTGATTACCTCCCTTGGCAGATTGTAATCACTATACTAACAAGGGGAGATCACTGTGAAGGAGATTGTTTATTTAGTTCACAATTACCCCCCTTTGGCTTCCCCGTGTTCATGTAAACAAAATAAGTTGTCTAGACCTTTATGCTTTTTGAGAAAACTGATCAATTCAGATGCAGGATTTCACACGTGTTTCCAAAATGTGCGCAATCTTTAAAAAATAGTGTGAATCCCGCATTAACAAGTCCTAGAATAGACACTGAGGTTTAAGTCACAAGTACACACATCTCCCACCATTCAACGGCCGCCAAAGAGCTTCAATAAATGCCAAATGTCTCTGTCTGACCAATAACCGGAAAAAGTTTTGGTCTAAGATTGCATGGGCCTCGTCGTTAAAGTAAATTAGTCAAAAAGCTTCCCCAATTAATAACTATTGGGAAAGCTATGACCGGTTTGTAAAGTCTTGTAAATTGGTCAATGTCATTACAAAAGCTAGTAAGATCAAATATTTTGATGGAGAGGTTTGTCACAACTGGTATATGTCAATGACCAATGGTCAGTACCTACATAATCTTGTCTGGCCAATAAGTGAGGAAAACTTTGTATAGAAAAGAAAATTTGTAAAGATCGAGATAAAGTTAGATAAGAATAGAATCTGCACTTCCCCTTCATGGCAGAACTATGATGGGGAGGTGCAAACAATCAACAATCATTGATGCCAGGAAACCTGGAATTAACTTTCTACAGAAAGTTGATCTGTCTAGAACGCCAATTACTTTCATTATCTTTTTCATCTACATTTTCTCAACCCAATTATATTCTTTTTTATTCATTTGCTTTTAACATATGATAAAGTATTTTCGCTTTCAAATTTCATTTCATTCAACACTCGTAGTTTTTTCCATTTCCTTGACTATTATTCCATTGTTTCCATTCCAATTTCCATATATTCTCTCCCTTTCCAATTATTTTCATTCATTTTTCACTTTCACATCTCCATTTTTCAAAAATGTCTATTGCTGACCTCTTGTAGTTCCTTCATTTGTTTCATATTTCAACTAACACTTTCCATTTTCATTTCTTTCATATTTCAACTAACACTTTCCATTTTTCACTGCACTAACTTTTCATGCCCTATTTCCATTCTCAAAACTTCACAATGTTTTAAATTCATTCTCATTTCCATCCAGGCAATTCACAATATCCTTTTCTATTCATATCACAATTTAACACTAACCGCAACATATAATTCATAATGGCATTTATTTATGTCCCTCCCACCACAATAAATACAATATTACACCTTTTCAATATTTTACCTCTCTGTTCTGTACTTGCCTTGTCTTTCACACTGCTGAGCAACTAAAAACATTGCCATTCTTACCGTCTTGTCTTGGTAACTTGATGGAAAATATCATCTAGTACTCACCATTTAACAACTATTTTTGAAAAGAGAAATGCAAGTTATTGTACATTATACATTCTTAACAACTAATATATTCGAATAAATTATTTTAACTAATAAATAATTTACTATGAATGAAATTTTGCTAAATTCTTTACTTTTTAAAGTTTAAAGATTTAAAGACATTATAAACTATGAAAGGTCGGTGGTTCTACTCGGTCGACATGAAACAACTTCTACTTGGAATAAATGTCAATACATTTGTAAATCATTGAAACTTTCTTACAAGATACTGGAATCATTAATTGTCCCGTAAGATCAACACACACACTTCACCATTTTCCAATGAAACAACAGATCTCCTACAAGAAAAATACAGAAGAATTGGTTAATAATCAGTACATTTTAATACAAGATCATGAATGATGACCAAATTAAAGAATCAACAAAAAGTATAAATGGCAATTATTAGACAAATTATCAATTATCAAAATAGCTATCCGGTTAGCTCAATAGGCAGAACTGTGAATCTGGCAACCTGAGTTTGATTCCCTGACAGTGCAGGTCACTTTCATTGTGATTGATCACTAAATTCTTACTATGGCAATTCACACTGTACCGCTGCCTTGACATGTACAGAAGTAATCAGTTCATTGTGTAAGTGAAGCTAGGCAATCAGTACAGGTAAACATGCATGATAGCATGCCCAGTAACAATGCAGTGGCCAAATTGAGCTCTGGTAAATTCAATGTGGCTTATTGCCGTGATCTGGAGTGAATTAATTAGACCTGTCAAGACCTGTTAACAGGCAGCATGCTCCCCTTAAAAAACAGAAAGTAGAAAAGGGGGGGGGGGGCATAATTCAACAAAGTGCCTGGCAGAGTTACTTGTCCTTGATAGCAGTCAAGTATTTTAAGTTTATAGCAAATGTGTGATGCTTTTTGTTTTTAAATATAAACTATTTTAAATTTAAAGGGAGACAATTAAGCAAAACTAGTCAGAGTTATCTGTCCATTAACAAGGACTGTCGGAGGACAGTAACGCTCGACTATTCGAAAAGTTGTCACAAAGGTGTTTCATTGAGTATAATAATGCTTACCTATATGAATACATAAAATTGTCCGAAAAGGTACAAACCCTTCAGTAGTTATGGAGATACCGGCTTACAAGCAAAAATTTACCTAGAAGTCGAAAAAGGGGCATAATTATGCAAAAAAAAAATCAGAGTTTTGGGACTTGTGCCAATCATCTTAGATAATCACAGAGAACAAGTGTGTGAAGTTTCAATCCATTCTCTTCAGTAGTTATGGAGATACCAATTTACACGCAAAAACTTAACCAAGAATTGCTAAGTTGAAAAAGGGGCATAATTATGTTAAAAAGCAAATCAGAGTTATGGGACTTGTGCCAATTATCTAAGATATCTAAGATAATCGCAGACAACAAGTGTGTGAAGTTTCAATCCATTCCTTTCAGTAGTTATGGAGATACCAGCTTACACGCAAAAACAGGGACGCCCACAAATGGGTGACTGCATTAGCTCGATTATTCTGCGAATAGTCGAGCTAAAAATGCATACCAATTTGATACAGCATTTTTTAAGTGAATACTTATAATTATATGATAGCTTATTGGATGTGAATCTATACGAAAAACTGCTGATAAAAAGGGATAGGGACTACATGTTAATGTGGTTGTTATTTTTTTTCCACTCGATTAAAAAATATTGTTTCCCTTAAAAAAGCTTTGTAAAGTATCACCTTTTTTTACTAATATTTTTCTTAATATTTGTTTACTTATATGATGCTAAAATAACATCTTACATACACTAACACTACAGGTTCCATCTATATCAAGTGATAAAATCTATACAAGACTTATCAGCGTCAATTAATTTTGTAAACAGGATAATGACATCCTCCTAAGTACGCAACACATTCATAAAGGTGCCCCAATGACATCATTTTAAACTGACATTGGTGGGGTTTAAAGAATGACTTATCAAGCACTGATGTAAACACAAAACAATACAGTCTGACACGCAAGTTTAAATTGTTGAAAATTTGATTAAGTTATTCTTGAATAATAAGGTGAAACATTGTTTTCAAATCATATTTTTTAGTTTCATAACTTTTAAACCTTAGCGAGAGTAGGGTGTGAAAAAGATTTACAATGTTTTTCAAAAAATGGCAGCATAGTAATGTCTACTTGCTAAAATAGCATTCGTCATTATGATGAGAGAAAATTTACTACTCCGGCCTACAGGCTTTTTGTCAATTACTATGCTTCAAAACTCTAAACTGGTGTTAAACAGTCGATAAACAATGCTGAAATGGATATTATTGCTTAAGTTACCTTTAATGATTTTTAATGTTCTCAACAAATCATTCAGTGTATGCATATTCAGTTTGAATAGGCCTAAAATAAAATATTATTCCCCCTCCCACAAAAATTAAAGCTACCTAAAAATCGTACTGCCTAGAAAATTTTTTTTTTCTACTAAACATCAGAAAGCAGAGGGTGCCAACAAGGCTGTCACATCTTTTTATTAGTCCCATGTTTTTAATAGTAAAGATAAAATTTGGATATATGTTGGATAAAACATGGTTCTAACCTTTAAACAGATGCTTAACATTCACATTTTGTTATATTTATAACTTAAACCATATAACTTTGAAAGGAAAAAATATTTGGGATAACAAAAAATGTTATTGACCGACCTTACCAAAACTGGTATGGTTGCAACGGACTGGGATACAAAGATAATTTTAAGGCTTGCTGATGGATACATGAATTAATAGCTTGGTACTTAAATCTTTTGGAACCTATACAGAAATTTCTTTTCATCCAAGTTATAAATAAATGAAGTAAAGGATTTCTTTTACAGTCTGACCCAGTTATTCGACAACCTTTTATTCAATACCCAATATTATCCAAAGTAGATCAGCAGTCCTTTTTTATCTCTATATAATTAGTTATAAAGATTGTCGACCGTTTATATGGCCCTATATAAAAGGTTGTTTGGAAATATAACCCGAGCCGCTTGGTTGTTTGGCCATATAACCTGTCAGGAATATTTATAAGGAATAAATATTTCTGCAAACTTCATTTTTAGAAAAAAAAATGAGATTTCTCAGCCGTGTATATTAACATCACGGTTATAAAATCAAAAATTGACGTTACAAACGTGCAGTATTATACAAGAAGCGCCGCAATGCGACGAAAACCAGGTTTTCAACGTCTAAGTTTTGATGTGACAGCAATCAATAGGTCAAAGTGCACTGAAGTTATTAAGTAGAAGCTGAAAATTCTATTGTAAGCAAATGACTTTGAACTTACTCCCAGATATCTAAGTGGCAATCCAAAGCTGCCACTCAGCAAGTTTGGTGTCAAAAGGTCAAAGCAAACTCAAGTTATAACATGAAAACTAAATACATGTACATTAACCTTGATCACAGACACCTTGGTAGCAATCCCAAGCTGCCTCTTGATATAAGCTACCCATTCATCAAGTTTGGTGTCAATAGGCCAAAGCAAACTCAAGTTATTGAGCAGAAACTGAATTTCTATTTTTTAGTAACAGTGACCTTGACCTTGATCACAGACACCTGGATAGCAATCCCAAGCTGCCTCTTAATATAAGCTATCCATACACCAAGTTTGGTGTCAATAGGCCAAAGCAGCAAACTCAAGTTATTGAGCGGAAACTGAATTTCTATTTTTAGTAACAGTGACCTTGACCTTGATCACAGACACCTGGCTAGCAATCCCAAGCTGCCTCTTGATATAAGCTACCTACACACCAAGTTTGTTGTCAATAGGCCAAAGCAAACTAAAGTTATTGAGCGGAAACCAAAAGTTGACGCCCGCCCGCCTGCCTGCCCGCCCGCCCGCCTTCGGCATTACAATAAATTAATAAATCAATATAAATACAAACATATTATTCCAAATACATTAACTGAATACCTCTTATATTTTTAAGTAAATTTTGGTCTGATTTTACAATTTTAAAAGAAATTCACACCTATTATCGAAGCCAGAGAAACTGACACTGATCCACCGTTGACCGTCCCAACTTGTGAAAAATTAATACCCGTTCGTGTATTTAGACAATGGTGATAATTATTCTTGTTTTTTTAAATTTCAAGCCAGTTATTTATTTAATTATTGGACGGTTAAAAGCATTCAAATTACTAATTTTTTTTAAAACAATTGAAATAGAGAAATAAATAGAAAAGCAAATACTACCATGTTTTTGTATATGAAAAATTTCTTTCTCTATTTCAAATCAGTGCATTATGTCCACTATCAAAAGATATTTTAAAAGTGAATATGTACGTTATTTAAAACTTACACTGTGTTGTTACTGTAAATGCTTAAAGATGACGGTCATAATTTTCATGTAACTACATATTCTACATAATGGAGAATAAAATGCAAATAATTTCATGCCTCCAATATGCCAATAAAACTTTATTTTGTACACATCTTTTGTTGTTCGTTTTTTTTTTTTGACTGACTTATGGAAACAAGTGTGTTATTAATGGTACTTTTGCTATGATTGGCATATGACAAAAAAGTTGGAATATTTGTCGTCTATCACTATATTCATATTTTGATTTTTCAAACCCATCAATTATTAAAAGTAAATTTTCAATCCAAAGCAAGATGGACTGTACCTTATTATAAACACTGTGTCCTGACTTGTTATCTATAATGAGACGTACCTGTGAGATACTTTAGTAGTTTATTTCAATCATCTCTCCACACTGGAGCAACTCCAAATCTGACAAATCTTCACCAATGTCACACAACCATCCACATTCCAACATAAATCCATCAACACAACTTCCGACATCAATCTAGAAATCCAGCCAACATGTTGCAAGGGTTTTCTGAAATGTCACTGGGGTTAACAGAACAACATTGCAATCTCAAAAAGTAACAGTATAACCTATACAGTATTTCCATTAAGCAAATACAATTCATTTTATTTTGGTGACTGTCCAGCTTTAAAGGTAGAGGAAAATGTGCCTTAATGGCATTGTTTCGGACAAAGACAGACACCTATTAAGAGTAGAACCACCAACTTTCCAATAGATAGCTAGTTAAACAACTTGAAATGGAAATGCCTTTATTGAGACTTACTTGTGACTTCAAAAGCAAATTTTACCTGACCATACAAAGTGTTCATCTCTCTCCACACTGAAACAACTTCCAATCTAACAAATCTGCCAGCACAGAGGTGTAGAAAGCTATTCCATACCATATCCTTCTTGCGAGTATCATAGTCGCTGGACCTCTCGAAGAATTGATAGTCTCGATCAACTTCCACCATGCATGTCAAGTTCTTCATTACTCTGTCACAGGTGTGCTTTAACCATCCATTTTCTGACATCTATCCATAATCACATTTGATGCCACTCAAGCCATTCAGACTCCATTGTCTAAAGGTTTACTGAAAAGTCACTGGGTTAACAAAACAACATTCCAATCTCAAAATGTTAACATTGACCATATCTTAAACTCTGAACTAAAACGATAACAATTGTTTAGTTTGTTTTCAAGTCATATGGCGACTGGCCGGCCACCTTTAATGGGGTAGGAAATTATGCCCCAAATGTACATTGTTTCAGGCAAGGGCTGGTACCAGAGTAAAGCAACCAATATTCCAGTCTACCTAGTTATAGACTTTAAAGCTACAAAATACAATTCCAATGTACTGAATGTGTAACTGATTTATTACTTAGCTACTCAAAAATTGAACCCACCAATTACATGTTGCACACCGGCTGTCCTGTGATTTACACAAACTCAAAATAGATGATTTACCCATGCTCCATCATGTCACTTTCCAGCACAATCATTTCACCAATGTCACACAACCATCCCCACCATCACAACTTCCGACATCAAGCTAGAAATCTGGCCAACATGTTGTAAAGGTTTTCTGAAATGTCACTGAGGTTAACAGAACAACATTGCAATCTCAAAAAGTAACAGTATAACCTATACAGTATTTCCATTAAGCAAATATATTTCATTTTATTTTGGTGACTGTCCAGCTTGAAAGGTAGAGGAAAATGTGCCTTAATGGCATTGTTTCGGACAAAGACAGACACCTAATAAGAGTAGAACCACCAACTTTCCAGTACATAACTAGTTAAACAACTAGAAATGGCAATGCCTTTATTGAGACTTACTTGTGACTTCAAAAGCAAATTTTACCAGACTATACAAAGTGTTCATCTCTCTCCACACTGAAACAACTTCCAATCTAACAAATCTGCCAGCACAGAGATGTAGAAAGCTATTCCATACCATATCCTTCTTGCGAGTATCATAGTCGCTGGACCTCTCGAAGAATTGATAGTCTCGATCAACTTCCACCATGCATGTCAAGTTCTTCAATACTCTGTCACAGGTGTGCTTTAACCATCCATTCTCTGACATTTATCCATAATCACATTTGATGCCACTCAAGCCATTCAGACTCCATTGTCTAAAGGTTTACTGAAAAGTCACTGGGTTAACAAAACAACATTCCAATCTCAAAATGTTAACATTGACCATATCTTAAACTCTGAACTAAAACGATAACAATTGTTTAGTTTGTTCTCAAGTCATATGGCGACTGGCCGGCCACCTTTATTGGTAGGAAATTATGCCCCAAATGTACATTGTTTCAGGCAAGGGCTGGTACCAGAGTAAAGCAACCAATATTCCAGTCTACCTAGTTATAGACTTTAAAGCTACAAAATACAATTCCAATGTACTGAATGTGTAACTGATTTATTACTTAGCTACTTAAAAATTTAACCCACCATAACATGTTGCACACCTGCTGTCCTGTGATTTACACAAACTCAAAATAGATGATTTACCCATGCTCCATCATGTCACTTTCCAGCACAATCAAACTTCACCAATGTCACACAACCATCCCCACCATCACAACTTCCGACATCAAGCAAGAAATCTAGCCAACATGTTGTAAATGTTTTCTGAAATGTCACTGGGGTTAACAGAACAACATTGCAATCTCTAAAAGTAACAGTATAACCTAAAAAACAATATTGCCATTACACATTCAATTCTACATTTTACTTTGGCAACTGTCCAGCTTTAAAGGTAGAGGAAAATGTGCCTTAATGGCATTGTTTCGGACGAAGACAGATATCTAATAAGAGTAGAACCACCAACTTTACAGTACATAGCTAGTTAAACAAAAGAAATGGAAATGCCTTTATCAAGACTTACTTGTGACTTCAAAAGCAAATTTTACCTGACCATACAAAGTGTCCATCTCACTCCACACTGAAACAACTTCCAATCTAACAAATCTGCCAGCACAGAGATGTAGAAAGCTATTCCATACCATATCCTTCTTGCGAGTATCATAGTCGCTGGACCTCTCGAAGAATTGATAGTCTCGATCAACTTCCACCATGCATGTCAAGTTCTTCACTACTCTGTCACAGGTGTGCTTTAATCATCCATTCTCTGACATTTATCCATAATCACATTTGATGCCACTCAAGCCATTCAGACTCCATTGTCTAAAGGTTTACTGAAAAGTCACTGGGTTAACAAAACAACATTCCAATCTCAAAATGTTAACATTGACCATAACTTAAACTCTGAACTAAAACGATAACAATTGTTTAGTTTGTTCTCAAGTCATATGGCGACTGGCCGGCCACCTTTAATGGTAGGATATGATGCCCCAAATGTACATTGTTTCAGGCAAGGGCTGGTACCAGAGTAAAGCAACCAATATTCCAGTCTACCTAGTTATAGACTTTAAAGCTACAAAATACAATTCAAATGTACTGAATGTGTAACTGATTTATTACTTAGCTACTCAAAAATTGAACCCACCATACATGTTGCACACCGGCTGTCCTGTGATTTACACAAACTCAAAATAGATGATTTACCCATGCTCCATCATGTCACTTTCCAGCACAATCATTTCACCAATGTCACACAACCATCCCCACCATCACAACTTCCGACATCAAGCTAGAAATCTGGCCAACATGTTGTAAAGGTTTTCTGAAATGTCACTGGGGTTAACAGAACAACATTGCAATCTCTTAAAAGTAACAGTATAACCTATACAATATTTCCATTAAACAGATACAATTCTACGTTTTATTTCCGTGATTGTCCAGCTTTAAAGGTATAGAGGAAAATGTGCCTTAATGGCATTGTTTCAGACAAAGACAGACACCTTATAAAAGTAGAACCACCAACTTTCCAGTGCATAGCTAGTTAAACAACTAGAAATGGCAATGCCTTTATTGAGACTTACTTGCGACTTCAAAAGCAAATTTTACTTGACCATACAAAGTGTCCATCTCTTTCCACACTGAAACAACTTCCAATCTAACAAATCTGCCAGCACAGAGATGTAGAAAGCTTTTCCATACCATATCCTTCTTGCAAGTATCATAGTCGCTGGACCTCTCGAAGAATTGATAGTCTCCATCAACTTCCACCATGCATGTCAAGTTCTTCACTACTCTGTCACATGTGTGCTTTAACAATCCATTTTCTGACATCTATCCATCATCACATTTGATGCCACTCAAGCCATTCAGACTCCATGGTCCAAGAGTTTACTGAAAAGTCACTGGGTTAACATAACAACATTCCAATCTCAAATTGTAAACATTGACCATATTTTAAACAAACTCTTTTAACTAAACCAAAAAAGATAGTTAAGTTGGTTCTCAAGTCATATGGCGACTGGCCACCTTTATTGGTAGGAAATATGCCCCAAATGTACATTGTTTCAGGCAAGGGCTCGTACCAGAGTAAAGCAACCAACATTCTAGTCTACCTAGTTATAGATTTAAGCTACAAAAGACAATTCCAATCAACTGAATGTGTAACTGATTTATTACTTAGCTATTGAACAATTGAACCTCCATACATGTTGCACTTTAGCTGTCCTGTGATTTACACAAACTCAAAATAGATAATTTACCAATGATCCATCATGTCACTTTCCAGCCACAATCACACTTCACCAATGTCACAACAATCCACATTCCGACATAAATCACCCATCACAACTTCCGACATCAATCTAGCAATCCAGCCAACATATTGCAAGGGTTTTCTGAAATGTCATTGGGGTTAACAGAACAACATTTCTTTCTCAAAATGTAAACACTATAAGCTTAATTCTTATTCCATTAACCAGATACCATACTTTATTCTATTATAGTGACTGTCCAGCTTTACCAATAGAGGAAAATGTGCCTTAATGGCATTGTTTCGGACAAAGACAGACACCTTTTAAGAGTAGAACCACCAACTTTCCAATACATAGCTAGTTAGAAAACTAGAAATGGAAATGCCTTTATTGAGACTTACTTGTGACTTCAAAAGCAAATTTTACCTGACCATACAAAGTGTTCATCTCTCTCCACACTGAAACAACTTCCAATCTTACAAATCTGCCAGCCCAGAGGTGTAGAAAGCTATTCCATACCATATCCTTCTTGCGAGTATAAAGTTGCTGGACCTCTCGAAGAATTGATAGTCTCGATCAACTTCCACCATGCATGTCAAGTTCTTCATTACTCTGTCACGTGTGCTTTTACAATCCATTTTCTGACATCTATCAATCATCACATTTTATGCAACTCCTCGGTCTGAAAGATCAAATCCATCATCATATTCAAGTGCAAGGAGTAGCAAACTGACATTATGAATAGAACCACTGACCTTCCAGTCACTATCTAT